TAGAATTTGCATTAATATACACAGCTTCTTTAAAAATTAATTACCCAAAGTAGAGCATCATGTACTGAGACTCTCAAACAGGAGAGAAAACATTGAAGCAGCACTGAAATAAGCAGTCTCAGAGCTCCTTGGGAAGCCAAGGGCAGCTGGAAACATTGCCCCAGCCCTTCTCTCCTGCCCAGCACATCACGATGGGGATGCAGACACAAACTGACAGCAGGAAGCATTGCCATGGAAAATTCTGAAGGAAACCATAGATTTGGACTGGGCCCGGAGGCTGCTGTGCTGCTGCTGAAGGCGGCTGCTGTTGCAGCTGCAGAGAAATACAAGGAACCTGTTAAGTTAGGAAAAGAAAATGTGATCTTTCCCAATGTCTCCCCAGAAGCAGGGAGGTGCCAGCGCCCCACAACACGTGGGTCACACATTTGTGTACTGGGGGGGGGTTGCATGGGTCAGAATGCCTGGCAGCACCAGTGAGGAAATGTCTGAGAACATTCATCAGCCCCTCTATTTTCCTTTTCTTCCATCAGCCTGCAAATGCAATGGCACATTGGGATGCTGCTCACTTGACTGTAATAAATTAGCAGCAGCCATTCAGTCTCCAGCCCCTCCAGTTTCTTCACATGCTGGAAATGGCTAGAGATGAATTTTTGCTGCTCTACATGGAGGAGAAAAAACAAATGTTACCGGTCACATGTATTGATAGCTTTAGTCAGAAGCTGAACAAAGTTAATGGTATTTGTGAAAACACTTGGGTAGCTGTGTCCTTCTCCTCTTTTGTACTTTGGCTTTGCTGGGTTGTAAGTCTGAGCTCTGGTGTGGCCACAGGAGATCTGACCTCATTTCCCATGGACATCCTTTATATCAGCTGAGCGAGGGGCAGCAGGCCCAGGAATGCAGGTTGTGCCTGAGCCAGGCAGAGTTTCTTTCTCTCCAGTGAGCTTTTCACATTGCTGAGCTCTTTACAGCTTTTCTGCCAGGAACGTCCCACAAGTGCAGGTACTTTCCTTCGCTACTACCTGTAAGTGAATGCTCTGTCTCCAGCTCAGTTAAAATTATGAATGATTTCCAGCCTTCTCCTGTACTGTCCCTGGAAGGTAATTGTGAGCTCTGGCCCTCCTCCCTGAGTGCAGGCAGTGCCATTGTTTCCATTGCAGTCCCAAGCCTCACTGGCCAATTTCAGGGCTCCTTACTCAGCAGTGGAAGCTCTCTCTGGGCTGGAATTTGCAAAGTGGCTGGGAGCAGCTACAAAACGTCCAATGCAGCTATTCCCTGTTATACTCATGGCAGAGCAAGGGAAATGAATGGCTTTAGTGGCAGCCAGGCTGCTGTTGGTGAGTTATTGGATGTTAAATGATTTTCAAGCAGTGCAGCAGTGCTGCTTTTGCTGCAGCTTCTGTCCCCTCAGCATCTCCATCTGCCCGAGGCACGTGTTCAGTCTGGGCAAGGGAGATCAGGTGCAGAGGCTGCTGCAAGTTGGTGGTCAGGCTAAAATACAACTGAAGACCTTAAAGGGGCAGCTTTCAAGACAAATTCTTCAGTTTCTCTGAATCCTGGTCAGTACTTGTAGGCTCCTTGTCTCTTTATGGATGGAGAGGAAGGCCAGGTATAGTCTCTAAGAGCTGCTTTTGATTTAAAGGAGGATGTTACAGTGAGAACTGAGGTGCTTCATGAGTGCCTGTTTTTTTGATTCATCATATCAGAGCAGTGTTTGGTGGTCTGGGTTACCTTCCCTCTCCAATCCCCAGGAAATCATGTTATTAATGACAAATGCTCAGGCTGCTGCTGGTGTCTGAGGGTTCACTGCACAGAGCAGGCTCAGGGGACAGGAATATCCCCACGGGATGGCTGAGGGGGTGGTTGGCAATGAGAAAGAGCCTACGCTTCATTCTGCAGCAAAATGAGACACAAATCAAATGCTTCCACTCCAAACAGGGAAACTCACGGGGCCCCTTTGCTGACCAGGGGTGCTGAGGGGCAGAAGGGGAAGGCAGAGCTGGGGGTGGGGGGGTGTCTTTGTCAAGGGATCCGTTGCTTTCCACTCAATGTAGGATGAACTGGGACATGATGAGAAGCCATCAAAAATGAGGGATATTGGACATGGGTTGAGCTGGACTCCAGCTCTCAAAGACAGGCTGAAGGCTCTGGAGTGGGTCCAAGGAGTGAGATGGGTCAAGAAGCTCTAAATCTAGGAAGTCATTGTTTGCACAACAGAATGAAAATGGGTATTTTCCCTTTCTTGCCCACGCTGGTGGGAATTCCATTCTGGTGACTGCCCTGAGGGCCTCCCCCTGCCGTGCTGCTTCACCAGCACCCTGCAGCCAGCACTCCCGGGCAAAAGAGGATGGAGAAGGGCTTGCTCTCTGCTCCAGCACTGGGAACAGCGGATACAAACAGAGTCTGAGGCTGCTGCTCCCAGATGTTGGTGAGAGAAGTCCCCAGGTTCAGACTGTCCTGAGCTTCTTCCAAGGCTGAAATCCAGAAGTGCAGGATACAGTGCTGGGAACAGCAGGCAGTCCCTGCCCTAGAGGCGGATGGAGCTGTCGAGATGTGCAGACAGGATTCTGGAGGTCTGCAGTGAATCAGGCAGCTGAAAACATTCAGCTATGCTGTGAGGGTGAAAGAGACTGCTGAGGCACTGGGGAGGCAGGGTGCTGTCTGTGTCAGAGGGAGCTGTCTGTGTCTCAGGACAGGCTGCACAGCCTCAGCTGCTCCCGGGAGCCACCGGGACGAGCTGTGCCTTGGGAAGGGCTCTGCGTGCCGAGCAGAATTCCATGACAGCAGGGAGGGGATTTGTCTTGTTGTGCCTTGCTGCCTTGGATTTCCCCAGAAACAAAGTGAATCCCACAGGCATTTCCTCCTGACGTTTGGTTATTTGAAGAGATTCAGGAACTGTGTATTGAGGAGAAGGTTCCTGGGCAAGGCAGCTTCTGCTTCCTGGTGCTGCATCCTGAGACTGAGTCAGGAGCACCCTGGGAAAAACTGATCTGGTGCTCAGTGCTGCAGCTCCATCGTAGCCCACAGGGGTTTAAACCATCACAGGGTCTGGAGCAACAGCAAAGCAGGGTAGCAGAAGACTGGGGATGTAGCTAGAGAGGACAAAATTGTTGTTTTCCGCAGTTACTAGCAGCATCATTTCAGCCTCAGATTATTCCTGCTTCCAGCTCCAATGCTCAGCCAAAGTGTGGGACAGACCTGGCTTACTGACAGCCAGGAAGTGTGAATGCACACCAGCCATCCCCCTGTTTCTGGAGCAAAGCTGATGTTCCCAAGGAAGTCCCTGTTCTGGGGTGGTGAGGCCCCGTGCCTCAGGGCTGTTCCAGTATGTCAGGGATTTGGCAGCAGGAGAATGGTGGGCTTGATGGAGCAGGGGTGCACCCCCAAATTGTAACCTGGTCCTGTTTTGTTAAGGACAAAATGGTGGTTGAGTACTTTTTTTTAATATATTAATGTTAAGATGGAATTTGAGTATTTTTATTTTTATCCTTCTCTATTATTTTCCCCTCCAGCTCCTACTACTGCTCTGCTGCTCCTCAGCCAGGCAGCCGGGGGGCTGTGTGACCCTGGCTGTCCCAAGCCCTCCTGTCCTCAGGACATGGCTCTGCAGCTGGGACTAAATCCACGTGCTAGCCAAAACCCCAGCAACACTTTCCTTTGAATCAGTGTCTCTGAGGGAGCCTTCTCCAATATAACTTTGGAACTGTAAATGCTAGAGATATTTACCTTCTCTTTCAGGGCAGGGAGAGCATTGGTCTTCCAGCGCAATATTTAATTCCTTGGCTGGGCTTAGCCTTTCTGGGCTCTGGGTTGTCAGCCAGGGGGGCAGGGGAGCTGTGCTGGGTTTCTGCTCGTTCCCACCGAGGTGTGTGAGGTATCACCCTCACGAGCAGATGGCTTTGGAGGAGTCTGTCTCCAAGGAGCTTTGCTGGCTCTGCACGTGGCAGAAGTCACAGTGCGGAAATCTTAGCAGCAGCATCACCCTGCAGATGTTATCCTCACTCACCACAGCTTCCTCCCTCCAGAAAGGCCTCTCTGGTTGCTGCTTGTAGCCTAGCATAGAAAGGGTCACCATGACAAGTGGGTCTCATGAGCACAGAGTTTGAATTGACATGCATTGACCCAGAAGCTCTTGTGGCTGCTTCAAGGGTGATGCTCCACAGCTCTCGTGCTCCCAGGCAGCCAGGGATTGTCCCAGCTGAGGGCAGGGCCACAGGAAAGGCATCTCTAGGTCTCTCATGGTCTTTTAAAAATGATCATCAATATGTTTCCATTTTCAATGCCAACACATTTTCAGAGGTTACTAAACAACACCTGGATCTCTGAAATTTGAATACAGTTTTTTATCTGAACCCAGGCATCTCTACATACTCTCCCCTTTCCTAGTTTACCATTAGAAATGTAGAATGCTTGGAGCACAAACTACAAACACCCCCAGGTTTTTAATTGTGGTTGAAAAGGCTATTTGCCTGTTTTGAAGGGTTAGTTTTCATTATTATTTGGAGCTGATTGCCTAAAGCAAAGCACAAAGTTTAGGTTTGGCCTGCCCACAGAACATTGTCACACTGATCCTTGATCAGCCTGGCATCCACAGGCTGGGTCACCCGTGCCTGTGACCTTCCCTGCCCTGTGTGGCGATGGAAGGTGGGTGAGGACACACTGCAGCTAATGATGGAGGCATTCAGGGACACTGCCAGCTTTCTCATCCTCTCCTGCTCCCGGGAAATATCTCCTGAAGCCAAAGGCTGCAGGAAGAAGGGCTCCGGGCGAGGCTGGGTGCTGCAGACACCACCCCAGGTGATTTACCTGCTCCTGCAGGCAGCCCCTGGCAGTGCCAGCAGTGAGTCAGGTTTCCTGCTCCTTAAATTTAGACTCGTCAGCCCTCACCTCTCCCTGCAGCTTTGTGAAGCACTTTGGCATCCAAGGTAGTTACAAAACAATGTCAAAGGTGTTAAAACGATTACCATTAAAATACTTCTCTTTTCTGCAGGAATGCCTTGGAATGCCACAGAGCTTTGGAAACTAGAAGAGTGTCTCTTGTGGACTTGGAGAAGTCTGCTAAAATGGTAGGATTTTCTTTCATTTTCAAATAATTATTGTAGACAGCTAGGAAAAAGCCAATTCTGTATTCTGTGTGATGAGATATTGATCTAACTTCTAATTCCCTCTAACCTGATTAAGGCCTTAAGAATTTCAACTATTGAAAAATACTAATCTTTTTCATGTAAATATCTTAGGCTACACTGGGGCTGTTAAGCTTAAGTCTTTCCCTGAGAAATTCAAATAGCTCAGCCTGTGGGGATCATTCAACCCTACCAAAGGCTTTAACATATGTTTGTATGTAAATATAGTTTACATATATATTAAGCTTTTACATGTATATGTAAATGTAGATGATCTATGTGGTAGTTTGCAGCCAATCTCCAGAAGGGATTTTCTTGGTACTTTTTCAAGGTATGTAGTTGGGCAAACAGAGCCTGATCTAAGCCAGGCAGTGTGGAGATGTGTGTTATCCTTGGGATCACACCTTCAAAGGGAGGTGGAGCTGGGGCATACAGGGGGTGGCTACAGAGGTGCACCTTCCCCTGTGGTACCATTCACTTCACTGCGCGTGCTGGAGAGGGTGTCAGTGCAGGAGGGTGGAAATCCAGGGCTCTGGAAAATGCTCATGGCACATATCCTTCCACTGCAAGGGAGGGTTACAATTTCCAGCTAAAACTGCTGTGCTGTCATGGCTTGCCAAGTCCTTGAGTGTGGTTTGCCACACTCTGCCACCCACCCCAGCCTGGCACCTGCACCGCGCTGGCCACAGGGGTGACTGGAGCTCCCACAGCTGAACGTCCTTCTCCCCTCGTGCTGGGCACAAAGTAGGGACAGATCTTGGCAACTGCAGCAAGTGAGAGCAGGAGGGGCCAAACCTAACCAGCATAAATGGAGCTGGTCTGGTCCTGCAGATCACAGAGCTTTGGGAGCCACCCCCCCTACTTAGGTGGGAGGCTTGAGCTTCCTTGGAAGCAGGAAGCCATGATCGTTCCACTGTGTGCTGGTGCTCTGGCCTTGGAGCATTGTGCTCCCTCGTGTCTGCAGAGCATGGTCAAAGCCAGGCTGGGAAAGAAGAGCTGTGGGTCTCCGTGGCTGTAGCACCTCACACCAGCAGTGATGGCTGGCTTTGCTGCTCCCTGTGCTTTGTGGAGCTGTGAGGATCAGAGCTCCTGAACTCCCCAGGGAAATGCTGTATGTGGTGTTTGGCTTTTCAGAAATACAGCCTGGTGGCAATTGCCAAACCTGCTTCCTCCTGTGTGCCAGCAGCCCCTGCTAACAGTGTGCAGGTTGGTGTTGACACACGCTCCAGGCACGTCCTGCTTCTCTGACCTGCAGCTGGGAACCCCACACACAGAGTGGGCTACACCAGTCAATCACACATCTGGATTATTTAAAGGGTTGGAACTGCAGCGTGCTCTCAGCTGCCTCACAGTGGCATTTGCATTTTGGCAGCACAAGTGCAGATTCTAATCCTGCCAACAAGAAATCTTTGTGGGTGCCCTGGCTGCATTCAACAGTACAAGTTTCCTCGAGGCATTCCTGGTTGCAACAGTGAGATAATAAGTGATTGCTTTTTGAAAGTCACAAGGTTCTGGCTGACTTGTCTTTTCCCATGGAAAAATATTAGGATATATGATCTGGGTATGTGGTTGTAGCAATGGAGAAGCTCTTGACAGAAATAGAGAATCCTCCTGAGGACTTTTGCTCTCTGGCAGCTGAAAACTTATCTGCTGAGCTCCCTTTTGGGTAACTGAAGGAGACTCTGTGAGCAATGGGAATTCAAAACCCTGCCCAAGGACTGTGCTGAGCTCTTCATCTAGTGCAGGAATATTGCCTGTTTTAGTGAAGGAGGGCCAAAAAAGAAGGTAACTGTGGGGAGGAGGAGGCAGATGCAAGAGGGAGAAGCACACGGAGCTGGAAGTGATGTACAAAGTGATGTGGCAACACCACTTAGAGCAGAGGAGAAAACCAGCATGGTGCCTGTTTGGGAAGGGGCAGGCTTGGAGAGATGCAGAAAAGAGGTGAAACAAGGCAGGCCACACAGATTTCAGTTGATATGAGGCAGAGGGCATGAGGGATAAAGCAAAGCCAAAAGAAGGATGACAGCAGGTAGCAGAAACTGAGAGACTGTTTTCCAGCAAAAATGACAGCAGGGGAGAGGCCACTGTGCTTTTGCCATCCGGCTATACTAGAAATTCAGAGAGATGCTCATGGATACAATTTAACAGCCTTTTGGCTGACCTGAAATCTCCAGATTATTCATAGGCATCTTGAAATGCTGGGGCTGAGGTGCGGCAGGTTGGTTTTGTTAAAACACTCTCGCTCCTTGTACTGTCTTCACATCTGTGATATCTATGAGTAAAAATAATTCAGCACAAATGTAGTTTGTGTCTGTCTTTAAGAAATCAAAGTTGTTGTGATGCCCGGGGCTGTGACAGAGAGCGTTAGAGAGACACAGGCAGAAAGCTGCTGCCGTAGGGAGGCAAAAGGATCTGGAGTTAAATAAAGCAAGCAGCTCCAGCATCCCAGCTGCCCCAGCCCCTCTCCAGCGGGCCGGCGGGCATTGAGCGTGTGCTCCGACAGCCCTGTGATAGATTAATTAGCGAAGCACTAACGACGAGCGCTGCCGGCGCGGTCCCAAGGCCAGCCTGTGTGAGCGGTCCGGCCGGGCTGGCTCGCACCGGGCTCCGGGCGCTGCCGCAGTCCGGGTTGGGAACTCCATCTCCCCTGGACAGACGGGCGGCCGGGAAGGGCTCCCCGAGCCCAGCTGTGAGCCAGCCCCAGCAGCGCTGAGCTCCCGGGAGCATTCCTGCAGCAGCAGCACACTGCTTTGAAAACCTGGGCAATAAACGTGAGGGAAAATGGATGCTCATTGTCAGCTTGTCTAGCTGAACTTTGGCCACACTGGGCGCTAGCCAGGAGACAGAAAAAGCCTCCTGCTGGGTTATTAAAGAGGACCTTTAATTACCTCATTAAGGACTGGCCATTGTCTCCAAGTAAATGAAAATCCAAATCTGTCAGTGCAGCTCAGTGATGATTGTTTGCATCCTGAACAGCAAAGGGCCCAGAGGTGCTGTAGAGAGGCTCCAATGGCCACAAACTCTCCTTGTGGCATTTTCATGTCTCCTGTCTGCAGACACTGTCTGTCCAGTGTGGCTTTTTGAATGGGATTTGGAGTAAAACAAAAGTGTTTGAGTGAAAACCTGGTTTTTGGGTCTAGAACGGAGTACTGACCTCCTGCTTGGGTTTTGATTTGGGTTTCAAAGCAGTGGTAGGGTAGGATGATCTGTTTGGGGATGGCTTGCTGTTTCTGCTAGGATTAGGAAATGGAAAATCCTGCAGCATTGCCTCCCAACATACTGGGTTTAATTCAAATATGGGGGACCAGGGAGGCAAAGCACAGGCTTTGGGTTTGTGCTGTTTCATAGTGAACCACAAACTGGCAGCTTAGCTACTTGAAGGGAGACTTGCTTTTGTGACTGTGGCCAAATGACAACTGCATAAACAAAGCAGAAGTGCTGCTGAATGTTTTGATGTTGACGTGGGCTTCCTGAGACCTTTCCCTTCAGTGACTCAGGCCCTTGGTCCCTCGTGTGCTCAGACACATCCACACACAAAGGATGATCAGGCAGCCTGTTTCTGACACATTGGCTTGCTTTTTAATTTTTTTAATTATTAGTTGTTAATCCCACTGAGCCAAATGGTATAAATTTTACTGAAGGAGAAAATTGCTTGTTGCTATTCAAATACTGCAGCCTAGGACAGTCTTGGAGGCAGAAGGTACATTTACCTGCTATTAACCCACCTCCTCACCTACACTCCAACACCACGGCCTGGACAAAGCACCTCTCTTTGCTCTGCAGCGCAGTTATTTAAAATGACTCATTATGGATCAAAATAGGCATCAGCTCAGAGCAACCCTCCACTGCATAACCCATCACTTCCCTGGGACTGCAGAGCAGGACAGCACAGGGCAGCAGAGCTCACAAGGGCTGTTGAACTGGCCACAAGCCATAGAAGCAGCTATGAGGAGTAACCTACTTTAGGATCTACATTCACTGTTTACTTTTCACAGGGCTTATCAGAGAAAGCTGTTTCACCCTCTTAAGCATCACATGAGTTAAACACGACACTGGTGGTTGTGGTTTATGCTTGTTGCAAGCACCCCATCCAAGGGGGTGACACAACAAGAAAGAAACAAGGTGATATCCCAGCTGTAATTTGGCCAGCAAATCCCCTGTGACCACGGCTCTCTGAGCAGCTGCGGGTGCCAGGATCCTCCTGCACAGCCACCACGGCCAGGAGGTACCGCAGGGCCGGTGTGAGTTCACCGGTAATGGCGGCAGGAGCCACCGAGTCTGTGAGGCAAAATCAATGGAGCAGGATCTAAAAGCTGTGCTCAATAACTCCTCAATAATCGTAAATCTCATTACCAACAGCTCTCACGCTGCTTTACGGGGGAAAGGATGCCCTCTCTTTGCAGAGGCGGCAGTTCAAGCATGGAGGAAGGGAGCGCTCGTTCCTAGAGATGCAGCAGAGAAGCAGAGGCTGCGTTTCTGGGTCGGTGTGTTATCCACAGGGCTGCATTGCCTCCCTACCGTGGCCGAGTGAAGTGCCATAGGAAGAGCCTGCTGGCAGCTTGCAGGTCTCTGGCAGGGGCTGTAGGGAAGCATTTCCCTCTGGGCCCTGCGGAGCACTGAGCCGTGGCGATTGTCCAGGAGGATGCTGAGAGGCAGCCGAGGAGCAGGCTTGAAGCAGAGCTGCCTCTTCAGCCAGGAGCCTGCCTAATGGGGATTTCTCTCCTCTCAGCTGGTCTCAGCACATGCAGCAGAGGCAGAGCAGCCTGTGTGTGGTTTAAAAATCTGTTTTGCAGCAGGTGATGGGAACAGCGGAGCTCGGGAGAAAATGAAGCCTGTTGGAATATGCAGCAGTCTGGGTCCGTCCCTGCTCACTTGCCACAGCGTTTTTTATCTCCATGAGAAAGGCAGCTTTGGTCTTAATTTATTTGGAAATTGCATCTGGC